TATTGATAATTTGGCATGCTGCTGAAGCCTACTATTTTTTGCAGCTATTTTGACTACAGGTGACAGAGCTGCTCATGACTGCAGACAAAATGGCCAGTTATTGGATGTTAGCAAGCTGTGAAACAAAAAAAAAAGTTTTTTCTCACAAAAAGGTTTTTTGAGGTGAAAAGTGAGAGGACATTTTTGGCTTATTGCATATTTCTGATTTTTTTATTGTTACTCAGAATAAGTAATGTTTTATTTGGAGTTTGCTGCATGAACATTTCTATATATTTTATGGCACTGCTGCAGCTTGTGTTTTATTTTGAATCTTGGCACCATCAGGTTGTTTGTTCTTATGCTGTTGAGTGACTTTGTGTCATATAATGGTGCTTGTGTTTTCCTCTCAGGACCTGTCTCCCGTCAAGGGGAGAGTTCTTTAAGAGACAAAAACAACGGTTGTTGTACTACGGAGTGTTTTCCCCTAGTTGACGAAAATCACTGATGGGTTCAGGAAGTTACAAACTCTCCTCCATGTCATACTTGTCCAGGAAAGGATCCTCCACTGACTCTTCATCCACTGGTTGGTGCTGATGATGATATCAGAATGTATAAAAATATACACTTGAATCATCCATTATTTACCTAAATGATTGGCATACACATTTTTGGGGGGTTCCAATAATTTAATTATGAATTATTTGTATATTGTGTGGATATCAGTATGACAATCCAGTACATATGTGTTGGATCCTACACAATTATTATTGCTACAGTAATCTTTAGGCATATATACACACCAATTGTTTCAATAAATACCATGTGAATACAATGTTATAAATTTCATTTATGAAAGTCATGTGATGTGATGTCAGGTAAACAGCTTTATTACAGTGTTGGGATGACACCACATCATCTCTTCACTTCAATAATAACCTGCTGTATGTGAGCAAAATTTTATTGAAACAATAATGGCCCTTCATCAGAAAATGATGTTATAAACTTAAAATAGTCATGGAATGTGTTTTTGGTCTCTGACTTTCATGGATGCCTGTCTGTGTAAAAAAATAGGGTCTTCATCAGTCAAGTACACCAAGAAGAAGCAAGCCCAGCTGAAGAAGGTCTCCATGATAGCAGAAGCCAGTGAGGAAGAGGACCCCATGGGGATGAACCTCACAGACAACCCAGACAGGGACAACATCAGCAGTTCTGATGATGATGATGAGGAGGATGAAGCCCTCTCATCATCTGCTGACCAGCATGGCATAGAAGTCAGGATAGTCATCCATGGCCCAGAGGGGCTCTGCAAGGATGCCAAGTCTGAGCAGCAGCTCCAGGAACTGGCCCAAAGGGCCCTCAAGGTGGTGTGTCACTCTGCCAGCAGTTCCAGCCTGCACAAGAGGCGCAAGAGGTCACTCTCTGGTCCTGGTGAAGATGCTGAGGACCCTGTGGGGCCTTTCCACTTGCAGAGAAGCCAGAGTGAGAGGAATAAGACCAGCAGCAGCAGAGCCAATAATAGGTCTGCATCAAGGAATAATAAGATGCTGCACACCAATAAGAACTTGCTGATGAAGGACAGTGGTAGTGGTGATGGGGAGAGCAAAGAGTCCACCTCTTCATCCTTTCCCATACTGTTGACTAGGAGTCAACCACACTGCCATCTGGAGGATGAGGACTGAATCTCAATCCCACACATTTGGTCAATCTCCAAACATAATGATGCAATTTGTTTTTTGCTTGCTTGTTCATCATCTCTTCTTTTGGTGAATGAATAGTTCACAATCAGATGATGATGAAAAGAAGAAATCAAGTAAACCATGATTCATTGGCTTTATATTATATGCGGAAAATAAACATTCATTCAACTTCCATAAAAAAGAGACTATATTATTTGGTATTCCAATTCCAGCACTAAAAAGAAAATTTTAAAAATTCACCCATTGCTTATGATCCAACGAATTGCTTCAAACACATATCATGAAATGTTTCAAATCATGTCAATATCGAATGAAAGCGATTTGGAAGTCGAAATTAAGAATGTACCGTACCGTGCGCTCATACCACCTGGCAGACCTGATTCCGGTGGGAAATTGTGCATGCTACTGTGCACTCGTGCCATCTGGAGAGAGGGGCGCATGCGCTAAGCTCCGCCTCCTGCGGAGGCTTTCCCAAAAGTTTCAAAATTCAAACAAAACATGCCACGAAAACAACCAAACATACCTTTCATGGAAAACAGTTCTGATAAATAATCCCTATTCAAAAATTAAACTTATGCGTTTTAGTATTGTATCGATACCCAAAAACTTAGACGATTAAAATAATAGCTTCACAACAGCCTCTTATGATGAGGAATCTGGAAAATTCCAACCCTTGATTATTTAGAAAGCAGTATACACATTTGTTCATGCATGACGAATTTTTTCTCCTCTCTTGGCAGAAAGCCTATACATAAGCAATGCTAAAATAATCTTGTTAAAACAAAGTACAGCAAATATTTTGAGGAATGTAGAATAGATTTTGCAAAAAAAAATCCTCACTAAGGCAGGCATTTTTTGATATTCATGACCCCAAATTTTACTGACTTGTTCTTGTACCACAGATGGAAGCTGTAACCAATGAAAAACCTGCTTCCAATAATAACTGAATCCAGCACTCTCAGTATTCACCCAGAATGAAAAAAAAAATGTTGCAACCGATGGAATGCATGATTGAAGCTAATTCTAATTTTCAAAAGATCACTTATAGTTTTTCCCAACAAAGATAACAAATCTCAGAATGCCAGAAAAAACAAAATCTATTTTATTAAAGACAGCTCTGATAGAAAATATTTTCCATGAGTTAATTGTGAAACCTCATTATAGAAAATGTTTCGGTAAGTACAACAAACTTGTTTCTATAGTCCGCGAAAAACGTTTGTTTCAACGAGATTTTACTGTACAGCACAGTACAGTACAGTACTCAGGGTTCCGCGATATTCATGAAAGCCCATTGAGTGCCTATACACAGTACGGTATATGCAAGCGGCGAACGTCCAGGGAGAGGGAGTGCATTGGCTTGGTGACACTGCACAACGCAGCACCCGTTCAGTTGCTCACAGGCACTCCTTCCTACGAGTAACGAATGAATGTGTTCATGTACGACGGCGTGGTGTCGCTCCCTAAACTGCTGCGTAGTTATCATGAACCGTGCCGCGCGGATCAACGCAGATTCCGTAGCATCACGTGCTGCGTGTATAAAACAGTTCTATAAATCATCAGTCTGTTAACATCTTCGTGTCCATTTCGTGTATAGTCAGTGCTGCGGGTTAATTATGGCGACATGGTGGTGGCGGTGTTGACAGAGCGGTGCCGTGCATGGCAGGCAATGTCCATCAGTCTACCGAAAGCAGCATTCCAGCAGCGGAGGACCATCATTATGTCGCGTCGTCATCGTCAACACCTTCATCGTCGTGGACAGTGGTGGCGTCAACAGTGGGCAGGGCAGCTGTCGGCCGATTTTGGCGGACCTGCATCAACAGACACGGGTCAGGATCGGGTCCGGTCTCGATCAACGGTAATAATAACTACTGGTTGCCAGTGGTGAGGATGACGAGTGCCAGTGGTGGTGGTCCGATGACCGGGGACGGGGATTATTGGATCTTCGTGCTCAAGCTCTTCTACGGGCCGGAGTTGGAGGACACCTGGGAGTGCGTGTTCAGTGTGCCTCGTGTTACCTTGGCTTTCGCAGGTGAGTCGAGACGATGAGTGATGTACAATTATACAGTGCGGTACTTGCTATAAACTGTACGTGATTATGATATGATTAATATTCGCAGTAGAGTACATCATCACAGGGTTCGAAATTGCCGAAGAAGGAGGGGGTTTTGAGCCAATATCGGTCGCACTGCTCTCTAGACTTGTCGTAAGAGTATCGCGAGAGTCTGATGTTATTTTGCTGGGGTTAGGTGTCACTCCTGCGTCATGTGCAAGAATCGGATGTTCAGAATCTGTCATATGTATAATTAGGAAGTGATACAGTTGACCCTGAATAAGTCAAACCTCCCTGTGTTGAATACCTCCAGAATTATAACATGAAAAATGCATTTTATCTTGATACCTCAAACCTCCCTGAATTTTTAATTTTTTTTGAGTCTCTGCATGAATTCCCTAAGAAAAAAATTCAGTGAAAACCTGTCTAACTTAAATGTCCCCCCTTCCCTCAAATCTCTGTAGGTTGAATTTTCCGGAGGCCTTTTGGCTATTATTTTAATGATGGCTAGAGAGAAAAAGCAATAAAAGTGTGACTGGATGTGTTTTGGAAAGGAAGTGAAGGACTAATTTGGAAAATCAACCTTTGCCTTCATGTTCAGCATCCTGTCAACTCATTCAAGAAGCAATATAAGGCTCAGAGCAGCACCATTTACAATTTGTTGTGATTCATGTTTCTTTCCTCCAACAGAAATTGTTGTTTCCTTAACACCAGTAAGTCAAATTATTTTGAATTGGTTTGAATTGAAAAGGTTTTACTAAATATTGAAATTGTTATTCAAATGCAGAAACACATCTTGTAATTTTAAAAATTCCTAAATATATATTTTGGGTACTCAAGTTTCATGTCAAACCAGTTCTGTTGGTGAGGATTTTTTATTCAATTCCAGTCTGGAATAAAACGAAGTACAGTAATGTCAAAGCCATAATACTTTTTAATTGAAGTTTTTTAATGGTTAAATCATTTGAATCCATGGTTAGTAAGCCAACTGTAGGTACAATTAGTTCACTTATCTGCACTAAGTAGTGCACTATTCATAATATAGTATTGTTTGCATCCTAATTCTTGTGTTAATTTCAGCTGAATTACCTCAAGAATTTATAATTCAATCACTGTACTCTATTTGGCACTTTAACCCAAAATCAAGAAACAAACCATTATTCTGTATACCTTCAAGTGAATATTTGGATCACTTTTTTGTGGTTAGTGATTACTTATGAAGAATATTCACAAGTTTTATCTATACAATTCTTGATTGTCTGCAGAGATTGTGGAGGGTCACCATGAAACTGAAACTTCAACCTTCATGACCCTTATTGTAAATGACGCCAGAAAAATCTGATAAATGAGTTGACCTCCAGATGAAAATCAGATGATGACCAATCTTTCTACTGTAGTTTTTTTTTTCTCTCTCTCTCTCTCTCTCTCTCTCTCTCAAGACCTTGAAGAAGATGATGGTGAAAAGAATAAACCCTATTCTTCCTAATTGGCAATTACTGTTTACTCTTTGTTTAAGAGGAACAAACACATTTTTTAAATAATTTTTTTTTATTGTTGCTCTGAGACACAAGGGATTAACATTGACACAGGAAAACACCATGTGACCCGAGTTCTGGGTCATGTCATGCTGTGTCACAACAGTAGATTGCAAAAAAAGTGAGAGAAACGAAGAAGAAGAAGAAGAAAAAGTTGGCAGCGGGTTTTCAAACATATCTTCGATCCTCAATGAGTGCCAACTATTTTTTTTTTGTTGGTTCGTTTTTCTGTATATAAATAAATTTTTTTTCAATGTCCGGAGGAAATTTCTAATGTTCTAGGATGCGTAGATTTGAAGGTTAAAGGTTTAGGAACCCCTTGGGACTCATCCAAAAAACCTTACGAGTTCCGGTCTTCCGGATTCCCGCGACCGGAAGTACTCGTTTTCAAACTCTGTAATGAGTTCCGCAGTTTAAAATTCGAACCGGAAACCAGAAGGACATTCGTGTTGGAATTTTTTAATTGAGGGTAATCCTGTACACTTTTATTTTCTTATCTGTTGAAAACTTGGAATAAAAAAAAATTAAAAAAAGGGAATTGAGAAATTTTTGCATAATTTCTTTTTAGGCGAGATTAATATTCGTTACATTTATTTATTTGACGTTTATTTGATTCCACTGTAAAAATAAAGGAACGTTTGAGAATAAATTGAGTTCAAATTATTGTCGTAATTTGGAATTTCGTGACACATTTTTGTCAATTTTTGCTGGGATTCTTTTTTCCGGTTTCCACGCGTTGAATTAATTTTTTCGTGCTGATGCTGGGGAAATTTTGCCAAAATTGTTGAGCCACTCTTTTGTACCGGGTGTGCATCGGGAATAAATCCAAGATTTTTTTGTGTTTTTGAAAACTTCCGTGAAGGTCATGTACTGTACGTGTAAAACGTTTAGGCTTGAAAAGATTTTAATCACGCATTATATTATTGGTGTTGAAGTTTTACGAATGAATTTACATTCTGTTATTCTACTGTGTTTCTAATTTCAAATACTGTATTGTGAAAACCTTCGCGTTGGAATTTTTCGGGGTGATTTTGAATTTTTGATTAAATTTCGGATATGACTGCTAGTGACATCTACCAACGTTGACGCAATTCCGCATTCTTGCCGCCTGCTTTTGTTTCTTCCGTCTCTCGTTAGATGGCACTCGCTGAATGTTCTATCATATATACTGTACAGTATATAGCAGTTGGTCTTTTTTTAAATTATATTGTATCTTATTCATTTCCGTGTTTTTTATATTAATAAATTTGTTTTTTTTTTCAGCGAGAGCAACAGGAGTATTTTTCCTCCTCGGCCTCGGAGGTTACCTGAGTCTGAAGGTGTTCAGATGGATCTCAGCTTCCAAAAATAGTTTGGAAAGTCCCCGCCAGTGTCGCTCACCAATCAGCTGTTCGTCGTGGGGAAGTACGACTGGGGACCGTCTTCCATCTGGACCCCTGGATCTGGAAAGTGTCTTCCTGCACCAGCACCACTCATACCAACCCCTGCTGAATCCCAGGGTGAGATGTGCACTGTGTATACAGTACTGTACTGTAATACTGTACTGCACTGCATGTATCAAATGTCAGTAATTTATTTTTTTGGGATGCTTGCAATTTGAGATGGAGACAATTTTAGATGGGGTCAATTTGTGACAGGGACATTTTGAGACAGGGACAATTTTGAGACAGGGACAATTTGATACAGGGACATTTTGAGGCAGGGACAATTTGAGAAAGGGACATTTTGAGATAGGGACAATTTGAGATGGGTACAATTTGAGGCCAAGAGCAATTTGTGAAATAGGCAATTGGAGAAATGGTCATTCAGAGATTGGGTCAATTATAGAGACAGCAAAAATGACCATATAATAATTTGTCATCCACAAAACAGGTGCTGCCAGAGAGGAACACATCAGGCAGGAGGTGTCATGTCAGCCCCAGAAAGACCAATGCCAAAAGGAAGGACAGGGCCAGACAACTGGCTGCACAATCCTCCTCTGCCAAGACTTCTCCCAGACACATGAGGAAGTTTGGCTTTGGTGACCCCTGTGTCCCTGCTGCTGCTGCTGCTGCTGCCAACTACTATTCAGGCTGTTCATCATCAGATGCCCAGCAAGAACTGTCCTTTTTTGCAATGGGAGCTGTGGCCAGAGGGAAAAAGTCCATGTGTCACCAGGGCTCTGCTGCATGGGACACTGACTCCTACGCTGCTGACCTGTCTGACACCAACCATGGAAAGACATCCAGGTCATCCTCTTGCAGTGGGCGCAGCTTTACTGGGCCTCATCCCAAGGTAGAAAAAAACAAAGTGATTCAACAATTGATAGAATGCAACAACAAAAAAAGAAAACAACAAGAGGGTTTTTCATGATGTGTTCTTCAGGTGAAACAGGAAATATTCCTACTGAGGGTTTATTTTTTACAATTGGAAGACAATTCATCCATGAGTTGCAGAAAGTTTAATTAACTCTGAGACCTTGTTTCTCCATATTTCTTCCAATTGTTTCTACCTGATTATGCAAATGTTCCATTTACATGTCATTTTCTAACAATATTTGCATTTGGTTTTCCTGCAGCTATGATGTGCTCTTTTTTCTTGTTTTTTTTCTTGAATTTGAAAAATAAAGTGTGCATGTGGTACTCAACTGAACATTGTATTGTACTTTTCCTGTTTTTTTTTTTGCTTTCCAGCATGGCATGAAACTTTACAGAGTCACAAGCAGAAGCCAGAGCAGAGAATGGGCCCAAATGACAGACCTGGATTCCTCTTGGAGCAGTGCTGAATCCACTGAAGATTTCAGTTCCCCTGAATCCAAGGGCTGTTTCCTGGGATCCCTGGACCCAGTGTATGACTCCAGATCCCGACACTTGATGATGAAGAGACCCATCCTCAAGTTTGAGGAGAAACACAGGTTGTTGTGCAAATGGCACCAACTGCCTGTCTGTGCCATTTGCGGTGTTGACTCATCCAGCACGACGTGTTCACCAGACCCCTGACACTCACAGAGTAAAAGGACTCGTGAACGGTTTAGATAAAGAACTGTACGAGTTCTCAGTCTTTTTTGGGAGGGACTAAGTTTAAAGGTCATTTAGGTACTGACTAATCTCTTTGAAGCCCTCCTAAACTCAAACCCTTTTTTCTTGGGCCTTTGCTGTAACCTCTTGGCATCAAATTTTACATTGACTGTCATCAGTTATTAAACTGGAGCTGTGTTTCAAAATGTGTTTCCCCAACTGGACCAGTGCCAGTCCTCAGAAGTTTTTTGATGATGTGCAGAATTTTGTTTTTAGCATGATATGTTTACTGAAAGTATGGTAATGTAATCTGTTATTTGTTCAGGAATTCTGGCAAGTCAGTGGCATTTGAAATTATCTGATGAAAAATAAAAGATTGCTTTTCTTCTAATAATACTTCTTACAAATTTTCACCTGCTCAAATAAATTATTATCTTTGTTTCCTTCAAGCCCACGTTTCTTGAATTTTTGAAACATCCCACTGTAGCTGTTTCAATGGTTCTTAACTTTAATTTTTGTAACAAGCAGAAACTTCTTAAATAAATGTCATCAAGTCTTTCAAGCAAAACTTCTTTGAGTCTGCAAGAATTTTATGAAACTTTGCCAGTTGCTCTGTAGATGTTTTTTGTGTGTGTGAAAATTTATAGGTCCACAAAAACTTTAATGGAAATTTGCTTGTCTATGGTCCCAAAAAGGTTGAGGAACACTGTTTCAAAACGCATCATCCAGATCATTTGTAATCTTTAAATGTTTTACTTTACTTTTTAGAAGGGATGTGGCAACTTTACTCAAGTACCAGCATGCACCTGGATTTTTTCAACTCAAAATTTGGATAAAATTGTATTCCCATGTAAGACTTGCACACACACTTTTTAGAGAATGAAAAATTAAAACATTTTGAAAATGAAATGCATCAAAATTCAAATTTAAATGTGTATTGTATTGAAATTGAATTTTATTTCTTCATCATTTCAATTTTTATAATTTTCTGTATTCCAATGTGGACTTATTCAATCAATTTACAATTGTTTTGATTTATGAAGTTCCTGTTAAGAATTTCCATTACTATATTCAAGTGTGAAGCAGACTTGAACTTCCAACATACCCTGTTTCTTTTTCTGCTCAATTTTGAGGAAGAAAAAAATGTGTGCATTATTGTAAACTTGAGTACATGTGATATTCCCCAACTGAAAAAAAAATCCCCTCAATCCAAAATGTTCTGATGCATAGTCCCATTTAAAATACTGTATGATGATGATGATGATGTGCTTGATTAATGTGCAGATGACGTCTGCTGGCAGAACCCACAGCAGCAGCAGCAACAGCACTCATCACCGTCGGGCCAAGGAAAGGTCTCCTCCAGATGGCGCCACCGACAACGACGAGCTGCCAGAACTGGAAATGGACGACATCTTCTCAACCTCCACCACCACCTGCTCGACCGCCGAAGCAGACTTTGAATTCCCTCATCATCACGAGTCATCATCATTTCAGCAGCAGCAGTTGGACTACCTCAAGAAAATCAGGTCCCTCGTCTACCACAACAACAACTCTTCATCAATAACGACGACGAAAACGAGCGGGGAGAAGCCCTGTGCTGGTGGTGACGGGTTCCTCGATTCCGACGACGCGTCGTCTACATCAGGAGCCTGTCGTCGTGATTGCCAAGGAGGAGGAGGAGGAATGAAACGGCAGACGATGAGCAAGGTGAATTCCTGCGAGAGTTTCCTGAGCCTCAACAGCGACGCCTGCAGCAGTTTGGACAGTTGCGACCTCGAGTACAACCTCGGCGACGACACCGAGTGCTTCCTGGACACCCTGGAAACGGAGCTGCACAACTTGAAGCAGTCCTGCTTCGACATGGACTCCAACATCGTGAACCTGCGCGTGGCCAGCCAGGCCGTGGCCATCCCGACTGCTGCCCTCACGCCGGAAGAATGCCGGGCCCTGGCCCTGGAACTCGGCCTGAGTGACAATGAAGATGAAAGAGAAGAAGAAGAAGAAGAAGAGGAGGGAGGAATTGCCGGCAGCAGCATCAGCAGGGCCCAGTCCTTGTGCAGCAGCAGCAGCTACAGTAGGCCACAGAGCCACATGAGCCTCGAGTGGGACTACCCAGGGGGGCTGGAGGATGATGGGGTTGCATCATCATCATCGCCTGTTTCCCAGCTGATGAGTGCTGCTGCTGCTCCTGGTGGTCATCATCAAAAGCATCATAATGCTGGCCGTGGACAAGATGATGATGATGCTCCACCGTCTTCCTTACTATTGTTGTCTTCTCTTGATGTTTATGATGCTGCTGCTGCTACTACTACTACTACTACTAAGCAGCAGCAGGAGCAGAGCTTGTTGCAAAAGTGAGCATATTGTATATATACAGTACAGTGAGACCCCAAGATGTGGATGTAATTGCTGGTGCATCAAGAGTGTCCCCAAGTTGAGTCTCATTTTCCCTTAGACTTACATTATATAACATTAGTAATAAAACACATACTCACCATAATTCCATCAAAATAAAAATTGTCTCCCAATTTAAACTGATTCAATCAATATATTAGAACACAATTTGGACATTTTGGGGAATTGAATAAAAAATGTCCCTATGTTGAGTCAGTGTCCTTATGTCAGGCCTTTTTTATTAATTTTTTATGAGAAAATAAGTGTCCCTAAGTCAAATTGTCCGCAGGTCAAGGTGTCTGCATGTGGGGGTCTCACTGTACATACCAATGTTGTCCTGCTGGACACAATGGGACACTTTCAACAGGAACTCTTCTTGAATGAAAAAAGTTATTGAACTCATGTTTAAATTTGAATTCAGGTGCCTCCTATTCAAGTTGTTTTTCAGTCCCAGAAAATGGAATGCGCATCTCACTGTGGAATAGAATTTCATCAAGATTTTAGGATGAAAAATTAGAGTTTGTGTGTGTCTTACTCATGGGCACATGGTACTTGAGTAAATACTGTACAGTGCAATGATTGCTAACAGCAGGTTTGTCCCTTTTGGATGCAACCTCTGATGTTTTTGGACCAGGTGTGATTGTAAAATGGTATTTTTACAATTGAAAAAAGAAAGGTTATCAATTTTCTGCATGATGGTGAGACAAGAACTTTCCTGTTACTGCCAAAGATTTCCACCCATGTCACAGGGAGCTAGAAATTTGTCAGGCAAACTAAAAATGTGATTTATTATTTCTGTTGTTTGATAGTAACCAAATATTAAAAAAAACACACCAGGATTTGATTTTGAACATGAATTTAACCCAAATTCAAGTAATACTCAAGGTTTTAGTTCAAGAAAAGTTCCTGTCAAAAGTTATGTGTAGATGGGGTGCACACCTAAACTTCCTACATTTTTTGAAAGTGTGTTCCTCACTTTTGATGTGCACTTTTTTTGTTCCCCTTAATTCTGTGCTGTGTTGTGTGTTCCCCTTAAAAGGTGCTTTTGGTACTGTCTAAGTAAATAATGTGTAGTAATATGGTGCTTCTGTCATTGGCTGAGTGTAGATAGAAGAACTGGAAAGCTGAGCTAACGAGACTAAAATCTTGCTTCTGTTGGCTTTTCTCCCTTGCATGTCCATTGCCCTCATGATGATGATGATGCTGTTTGGTGTGGACTTCCATCCAATCCCTGTTCACAATATAAAGTATCTCAGGTAACCATGTCACTAACAATTTCTTTTACTGACTCTCGACAAAACTTTGCTCTTGCCTGATATTCAAATGTATGTCCACTATGCTTTAGTGCTTGCTGAAAATATCTTGACTTTCATCTTCACACAGGGCTGTCCAAGGAAATAGAAGAAGGAAAGGAAGAGCAGAGGCTGAAAATGCGCAGCAGGAGTCGAAGCTGTCCTAATGTGGTGCCAATATGAATTGTAGACTTTTGAATGACCGAACTGCTGGTGCTGTTGTTGACCTCTTTGTTTTTTTTTTTTTGAACCAGCTTTCCAAGGAAAAGTAGTGTGCAATTTTCAGATATGGTGGTTGCTGGGATTGGTTGGTTATGGCTTTTTTTTTTCTTTGACATAGGAGGAGATTTTGTGGACAAATATAAAAAAACCTGGCCATGGGCTGTGTTGAAAATTTATAACCTGTGACAATATGATTTCCACAGGCTGGTGCACTCAAACTTGACAAAGGTCACCAAAATGCCCCTGGGTTGCAAAGGCATGAGACAGGAAACATTTGTAAATCCAATTGTTCTAAGAAATGTTCAGTTTCAACCCAATGTGCAACAAATGACACCCAGAAGATAAAAAGTATTGGACTTTTTCCCAAAGGCCTTGGTTCAAGAATTAGGTTTTTTTTAAATTAATGAGCACAACACTTTGCAAAAATATCCTGACTTGGACATTGTAACAGAAGGGTTCAACAACACAATATCTCAATGTTCATATGTATGTTATGACTCCATTCTCACATTGGCTTGACCTCAGCAATTATTTCCACTGTATAGGACAGAATTTTTATTTGCCCACCCTGTATGCAAAAGCACTGCAACTGCCTGAACACTGAGATAAGCAGATACTTCTTCTTGGTAAAGTCCATCTTTTGTGACTCATGGTCCTGCCTCTTTTATCAGCATTCCAACAGTCAAACCCTAGGCGAAGTCTGGACACTATCTGCTGGTCAGTTTCTCATCTGTCCAGCATAAATCATGCCATCCAAACTCCAAGCTCTGCTTCATGGTAAGAGTCATCTTGAACCAAAAAGAAAATAAAAAACATGTGTGAAATCAAATATCTATTGAAACCAATTTTGCAGCTTGTGCCAGAGTGATTGAATTAGCAGTGAAACTCAAAATCCCCAAAGAACTGCGAAAAGAGATTGAAACACTTCAAGAGGCATCAAATGAGGTACAACAAGAAGTGAACTTTACTCATCCAAATTCACCACAAGTGCAACTCATCACAAATGAGGGTTAGTATTATAACCAATCAATGAGTAGAAAGATGCTTTTTCTGCAGTAAACAGTGGCAAACAATTCACTAAAAAAATTGCATAGTACTGTTACATTCAAAATGCATTGACCACTATATGATAAAAATTAATAAAACTAGCCTCATTATGACAGCATATGCAGTACACCCTTCGATCATTTGGTTGTTCATCAGGAAAAAGCCTCCAGAACCCAGCAGCAGCTGTCAGCAGCAGTGTTGTGATCCATCAGGAGGGTTCTGTGACTGTCAGCAGGAAAACCCCAGGGTTATTTGGAAGGAGGAACAAGTTATTCAGCTCAGTGAGTTATGCCAGGGTGACACAGACCCAGTTGGACTTGTATCAGGATGAGGTTGCAGAAACACCTTCAGTCAGTCTTGCTCTCAATGGCTCCCAAGTGGCAGTCACCAGTGGACCAAAGCAACCTGTGCGCACAGAAGAGTTCTCTGTCCTTCTGCCCAATGGTGACATTTACTTGGCAAGTAGAGTATAGTGTACTGTACATAGAACCTCACTCCAACAAATAATACTGTTGCAACACATTTTTCAGTACTGTATAACACAATTTTAACATGTTTTTATTAACTCGCTTTCTTGTCTGTTTGTCTGGATCAAATTTTGCAACTCAAATTTTGCTCACTTCCCGACTAGCTAGCAAGCTGAAACTTTCAGGATAGCTTAGAAACTGATGACAATGCAATCTTTTGTGAAAAGAAAAATTATAAGAATATTTTTTTTAAATAATAAAATAATTAAAATAGATTAAAAAATTAATCTAAAAAACTACGTTTTTCAAGTAAGACTAAAAAGCACAAAAAAATTTAGTAGATTAAAAAATTAATCTAAAAAACCACGTTTTGAAAAAGCAAAAAATAACCTTAAACGTGGTGCGCATGGAGATTGTTGGGAAGAAGTGAAATACAAATGAAATAGATGCGCACCCCGTTTAAGGTTATTTTTTCTTTTTCAAAACGTGGTTTTTTAGATATGTCAACCCCCACACTATGGACTTAGTTTGTGCATCAGACTAGTCTGTTGTGTGAAAAGTCTGTTATGCAAATTCAATCATTAAAAGTTGAAATTTTTACTTTCTACCATTAATTATAAACCAACAGAATAAGTCTGTTGAGCAGATTCAGTCTGTTGCGTGGGAGGGAAAACTGCATCTAGAGGTGGTCTATTGTGCAAAAGTCCATTGATTGATGGGAGGTCCATATTGTGCAGGGGTTGACTTTACATATAACAAACTTTTTCTGTGGTTCCCAGCAGAAGCTTATGTATAGTTTTAAGAACAAGATTTTACTGTATGCAGCACTTTCATTATTATTGTAGGACATGAGTAATTGTACCTTGAAAAATAATGCAAATGAAGGTCATGTGCATATAATAACCATGGTTATTCAGTTCATCACTATATACACACAACCACCTGATGAATTTAACTTTCATGATGATATTATACTTAGCATCACATCACTCTCAAAAATATCAAAATGCATCCCAAACCACATCATCAAGAAAAGAAGAAAATGACATTAATATCATATATTATCAATATATAGGTTACCTGCATCGCACAACAGTTGTACTCTTGGATCAGCTCCATCACCCAAGCTGGAGGCAAAGAGGTTCAGCCTGAAGAACTCTCTGACAACAATAGGAAACAGGATTCTCCCAAGTCTTCTGCATCATCATCATCATCATCATTGTTTGGTCCACCAGCAGCAGCATCAAAGGCTCAACTGGAACAAAGGGAAAGAAATGTGCCTCAAATTGACAATGTACCAAAACCAAAGATGTTCAAGGGATTCCAGGGGGCATCTCATCATCAGGAGCCAATCAAAGTGGAACCTTTTCAACCAGCATCAATCAAACAACAATCAAAGGGTATATGAGCTTTATGCTGGAAAGAGAAGTATAGTATTTTAATGTTGACTATATATACAACCCAAAGGTGGTGCATTAATTGTTACAAGTAAAAATTCACTCAAAAGCCAGCACAGCTGGTAATATTTGCCTCAAAAGAGTATAATTTTCACACTGAAAACAGAGCAAAGACCACATACCATGTATATGCCCAGCAAAAAAGGGCAGAAATTAAATCCATATGTAAAAAAAAAAATTCATAGAATAATCCCTGATTTTTTTATGAATCATTGAATCAACAGGTTCCCAACAACAAAAGCAGCAGCAGGATGATTATTATGACAACTTCAATAATGACACCATGGAAGACACTTGGAAACTCAAATCAGAAGCAACCCCAATCATGGCCAACACAACTGGTACAGTTTCTTCAAATGATCTATACCTTATATGAGAGAATATGAAAGAAATGTGCCTCAAATTGACAATGTACCAAAACCAAAGATGTTCAAGGGATTCCAGGGGGCATCTCATCATCAGGAGCCAATCAAAGTGGAACCTTTTCAACCAGCATCAATCAAACAACAATCAAAGGGTATATGAGCTTTATGCTGGAAAGAGAAGTATAGTATTTTAATGTTGACTATATATACAACCCAAAGGTGGTGCATTAATTGTTACAAGTAAAAATTCACTCAAAAGCCAGCACAGCTGTAATATTTGCCTCAAAAAAGTATAATTTTCACACTGAAAACAAAGCAAAGACCACATACCATGTATATGCCCAGCAAAAAGGGCAGAAATTAAATCCATATGTAAAAAAATATTCCATAGAATAATCCCTGATTGTTTTATGAATCATTGAATCAACAGGTTCCCAACAACAAAAGCAGCAGCAGGATGATTACTATGACAACTTCAATAATGACACCATGGAAGACACTTGGAAACTCAAATCAGAAGCAACCCCAATCATGGCCAACACAACTGGTACAGTTTCTTCAAATGATCTATACCTTATATGAGAGAATATGAATATGACAACTTCAATAATGACACCATGGAAGACACTTGGAAACTCAAATCAGAAGCAACCCCAATCATGGCCAACACAACTGGTACAGTTTCTTCAAATGATCTATACCTTATATGAGAGAATATGATCTTTTCAATTGCAACCACAAATGATTTTACAAAAAAAAATTAATTTGCATGTCCTTTATTGGAGAGCCATCAGAAAATGCTTTCCAAGTTATGTCATATTTAAGGAAGTTATTCCAGATTTCCATCACAGCAGACTGTCGTTCTTTTCATAGATATATTGATGTAAAATCTTGTTTATATGCCAGCATTCTTGAGGCTAACAAAAATTCCCCACATCCTTGCATATTTAGACACATATGCCAGTGCATCAAAAATAACACATTATATAGTTGTTTGTAGAAAATGAACCACAGCAATACATACTGTATAAAGAAAACAAGATCACAATTTTTTGTGAAAGAATGGCAAGTACTGTATCATATAGTACAGGTCAATTACTCTGCACAAATTCTAACAAAAGGTGTTCATCCTTTTTCCAGTTTTTTTTTTCCTTTTCCTCTATTTTGTAACACAACACTTCACTGTATAATCTCATTTTCTACCAAAAAATGGCATGAAATTTTCTGGACAAAATATTTTTCAATCATGCAGAAGACCCAATTGATGAGGCTTATTATGCAAATTCCAATGACTTGAGGCCTGATGATTCCAATTCAGAAGCCAAATTAACAATGATGAACAAAGGCAATCTGCCTCCACTTCCATCAGAGGAAATTTCAGGTGAGACTGATTTGATAGTTAAAAAAAAAATGGTCCACATAAATTTTTTTTTTCAAACAGATGACGAAGACTATGCTTACATACCAGACTTTCTCCAACAGCAACCAAAAACCGAAGCAGTTGGTAAGTTAATTTATAAAATGCATCAGGAAAAGTTAGACCTACTAAAATCCTTCCCTTTTTTCCCCAAAACTGAAATCGCCACCAAATTTGGCTTCATGTTCAATTTCACCGGAATGCTGATGACAGCTGTTAATTTACAGAGACAGTAACGTTTTTATTTTAAAGCAATACCTCGAATAAATTAAATAATTCACCAAATGACTTTTCATTTCGACTGTGCCCCCACTTCATTGATCAGAAATAGTTGGAATTATCTCAGCATTTGAATGATGGAAGCAGGATCCAAATTGCAAATTGAAGATGAAAATTCCAGTGACAACTTTCGGGTTTTCTTTTCTTTTTAAATATTGATTGCTGATACAATAAATATCAATATATTTGATACTGTGAGACTATATTCAGCAAACGCCAGAAAATAATACTGAAATTAAGTTACAGTTTTGTCATTTCCATGAAAGTATCTGGAGCAGAACTCATCGTCAGTTTATATATGCATTCAGTACATGTGAAATTGACACTGCATATGGGGGGGTTGACAGATTGGATCAGGTCTCGGGGACTTCCAGAAATACCAAAGGATGACAAAAGCTCAAGCACTGCTCATGCTGATGAGGATGAATCACAAGACGACAACAAGAACATCACTCCCATTTCTTCAGAATCAAGTCTGATCGATGAGGAAGATGAAGAGACGTACGCAGACTGTGATTCATTCCCTCATCCAGCATCAAGGGCTGCTGATGATACAGTGCCTCTGCCACAGTCCAATGCTCCCAACCACTGGCCTTTGCCTCCAATCCCTGGAAAATATGAACACCTGGAAGCCAGTGACAATAACCTGGGTAAATGAAAGCAAGAAAAATTCATGATGTTTAAAAATATACAGTACATTACTGTATTGTAGCATGTATACAAAGTCATTCAACATTAATATATATATATATATATTTTCCTGTAGAATCATTGAAAGCCAGCAGCTGACATGAAAGCTTTCCAAACATCTAAAACCAAAAGTAAAATTGTTTCTTACTTTATTTTTTCATGGAAAAATCACTACATACATACAGAGATATATTCATGTAAAATGTCTGGCAGTTGAGAGGTTGACAAAGTGCTCCATAATGTTAGTGAGGTATTGCATGATACATATGTTGAACAAGTTTTGTACAGTTGAAGCTCCCCGAGTTAAATTTGATTGTGAGCACAGTAAGAATTTCCTCAAGATCAATATACTGTATTATAGACCTCCTTATTACTCTAAATTTTCCTCCTTCAAAACCCCCATACCTCAAATTTTGATAAGTCTAATTCGGGCTATTCTTCTTCTTGGGACTCCTCAAGTTGGAAAACAGCAGTTCAATTGTAATTTGATATTTTTCAAGAGGGAGTTTGTGATTAATTGGTCAAATGAACCCTTGCCTCCACATTCAGCACCCTGTCAATCCAGCTGCTTATTAAGACCCAGAATTTCACCAATCTCATGCCTTCCTTATAATTCTTCATTTTACACCCCATCAAAAGTAACAAGTCAATTGTGGGCCCCTTTCAGTTATAATTATTATATGTTGCCAAAGCTTTAGCAGATCAGCAGCACAAAAATAGCATTCAACAACAGAAAAACTTAACATTTTCTTTTTCAAAAAGCAACACATGCCTTCATCACCTTCTAGAATTGTATCCATCAATGGTATGCTTGATCCCTTTCATCATTGATGATTGCCGGACTGCTGCTGAAACTTTGTTTTTCGCATAGATGGCGCTCCATCAGGTGTGAGAACATTTCCTAAAAGAGATCACCAGCAAACTTCATCATCATCAGCAGCAGCAGGGAAGTCAACCCCAAAACCAGCAGTTCCTCTGAAGAAACCTAATGTGAGAGCTTTCCAAACACCAAACCTCAAAAGTAAAATTATTTTTGATTTTGTCATAAAAATCACTGCATGTACGGATATATTCATATATTCCAGGTCATGAGATGAAACTTCCTGAACCAACATCAGCGCCAACGTTGAAGCCCTGGATGAACCTGGAGTATGAATGAATATATTCAATTTCTCACCACACAAGCAATACATGCATTGGATAAAGTCTACATACATTTTTTTTATATGCAGGGTAGCTTCATCATCAGGAATGGAACCTGCTGGTAAACAACAGAAAAGTGGATCTCTGGCATCCAATCAAAAAGCACCTCCAACCTTACCAGCAAGAAAATCTTCACTCCACCATCAGCAAACAACAATACCTGCTGCTCTTCCACAGCAAGAGCAATACCAAAAGAATCCAACTGCCAATAAGGTGTCTTCCAAGATCCTTGCACTCCAGGCACAAGTTGGCAAAGACAGGGAAGCCAGCAGCAATCCAGCACCACCACCCATTGGTTTTCCCAGGAGTCCCAAGGATAATAAACTGTCTCCAAATATGCTTGCACTTCAGGCAAAAGTGGGCAGAGTTTTGCTGGAACCTGCCCCTGCTGATGGTCCACCAAGTGGTTCAAGGGGCACCGTCAGGTCTGAAGAACCAGCACCAATACCACCACCAGTACCAACCAAGGTGTCCAGCAGAGATAATCCAGGATTTGGAGGAATGTCAGAAAGTCCCATTAGACCAACATCTTTCTTGCACTCCACAAAGAAACGCATTGACTACACTGCCAGACCTTTGCCACCACCTCCACCAAACTGAGAAATCAGGTGGTCACTATTTATTCAGACTTGACTCACCCTCAAAAATGGAGTTTCATATGCACATGCACTGATTAAAAAATGGTCCTGAGATTGCAAAATCTATGTACAGTATACAGGACATTCAAGGGTTATTCATGTTTTCCGCTTAAGACATGAACGAGTCTCTTATTCATTAATTTCCAAATTTTAATTTACTCAAAAACTTGATAAAATGCCAATCAAGTTACCTACAGAAACATGAAAATACACATGTTTTCAGATCCTTAAAAATACAGCACTCAGTGCCCAAAGAGTTCTTATATGTTACAATAAAAACCATGCCCATTCACCCACCTGAGCGTGAAAAATGGCATTTCAATGGCGACAGCCAGCATGGACATCTACCCTCATTTCATAAAAAATTTAGATTATGGCGGACAGACCACAATTTTCTCAACAGTGCCTTGACTTTTGGGATACTAACAATTTCATCAAATTGCCAAAAATAACATTCATCCCAGTGTTTGTTTCTGACATCACAAGAATACGTTGAAAATGTCATGGATTTGAATGTGCAACACTGCAAAATATAAGTTCAATCTAGGTATTCTCAAAAACTTTCTTTCCAGACATGTTTGTTAAAAGAGACAAGTGACCTTGCCCATCATTATAATTCCATATTCACTCAAGTACCACAAGCACCTTCTTTCTCAAAATGGATGGGGATGCACAACATGTATTTTCAAAAAGTGTTAGAAGTTCAAGTGTGCATTATATTTGATTTTAATGAGAAATTATGGACCATTTTTCACAGAAAAAAACTCATCACAATGGAAATAGTTGAGATCGGTTGAAATTAAAGATCAATTCATGTTTAAATTCAGTTTTCGGTGTCCTCTTCATTTTCAAAATAATACAGCTTCATGGCCATTCAAAAGGCGTGAGTGTGTCTTTTTCAGGGATGCAATCTTTTGAAAGAAAACTTACTTTACTCATAAACTCTGGTGCAAGTCTTACTGTAGGACGCGTGGTACTCAAGTAAGTAAGGTAAATGCAAGATTACCACATTACCAGAGCGTTACCCTAACGAGACAGCAATCTTTGCATACAGCACATACCACCACTCCTCTCAAGATTCCAAATCTGGATCCACGACCGGCATCCGACTCGCTCGAAATCCGCCTTGACACCAGTTTTTATTTCCGGGCTTCATTTTCCAGTTCGAAATGAAATAAAAACGTCGAGTATGTCCTGCTCAACTCGCAGCCGGTTCATTTTTCATTCCATCCCGCACACACCTTCGTCTGCCCCCCGCGGAAGGTGGAGAAAAAAAGGAAAACGGATCTACTTCAGAGGGATGAATCTGGAACTGTGAGTGGCACCGATACCAGGACGACCGTGCTTGACAGGCTTGTATGTGATACTGAATTCACCCAGGTAGTGTCCAATCATCTCGGGCTGGAAATAAATACAGTAAAATGAATAAAAGATTCTTAATCATGACCACTCAAGATTCAAGTCAACACTTCAGCTACTTTCAAGAGGACCAATGATTGCTTCAAAATCATTTGATGAATTCAACTGAACCATTTCCATAACATGGCAGTAGAGTAGTTTGTATGGCACCCCTGGTTGGCCATGAAGGCCCCATTAGTGGTATCCTACCCCATGAATGCAAGAGAGTAAAAATTAACTATTCGGTGAATCGAACTGCACCATTTTCAAAATCATGGCAAGAGCTCGTGTGGCAACCCTGATGGTTGGCCATCAGGGTTCCATCAGTGGTACCCTACTGCATGAATACAAGAATGTGAGAAATGGTCTTGACTATTTTTACTGACTCACATACTTGTTTGCTACCTACATCTGCCAAAGATTTCTTAAACCTTTCATGAATCGCAGTTTGAACTTTTTAACTCTCCTCCTGGGTTATACAAAGTACAATCCCAATGCTGATTGTAATAGCACAAAAACTTGAAGAAAAAAAATTCTTTGCGTAGAAATGGTGAAAAAACGTGGCTTGAATGCTGGATAAAATAAAATAAATGAACCTTGATTTCCACTTGATTGAACGTCTTGCCGTTGTAGACACCAACTACACTGCCCACCATTTCCGGCAGGATGATCATGTTGCGGAGGTGAGTCTTGACCACCTCGGGCTTCTCCAGTGGCGGCGCCTCCTTCTTGGCCTTGCGCAGCTTCTTCATCAGGGCCAGCGGCTTGCGCTTCAGGCCACGGCTAAGCTTCCTCCGAGCTCTGCACGGCAACAGCTCCATCACTTGCTCCCTGAAATAATAATACGGCAACCGAAATTAACAGACGGACTCGCATTAAACAATAAATTGGAAGAAGAGAGAGAAATTGAACATTCACGTGTGCATCACATAGATGTCGCCCGCGTTTTACATGACCACTCATCACATCCAACGTTGATTCAAGATGTGGTTCAATCATTTCGATTACTTCAAATTCAATTTGGTAACTTCAAATTTCCCTAGTCCTGATCCGAATTTTTCTATTTACACGCAGTTCACAGTCAAACCTCTCCCAAGTTGAACAACTCGAATTAGCAGACGTAGAGTTTCTTCTTTTTTTGGGCGTTGGGAATTGGCGATATTCTGAACCTTAATTTGATCTGTAAATGAATTCACAGGATGCTGAGCTTGGGATGAGACGAGGGTTCATTAGCCCAATTTCCCGAAACAAATCACGGTATATTTTTATCGCTTTCCTCCAGAGGTTCGAAGCGGAAAAGTCTTCGAGTCAAGAGAGATTATCAATGCATAGATTCTGAGAAAATTCAGACAGGGACTTCAAAAAATTCGACGAATAGAGAGGTATTCGACTTCGGGAGGTTCGATGGCAGTAGTAATCCATGCGAGCTCAACCAGACAAAAAAAAAAAAAAATTGATAGCGAAAAAAACCCAGATTTTTCAGTACCAACGTTACGAATTCTAAAAAAAAAAAAAATCTCGGTAAAACCAGACCGAGTTTCACATGCAAAAGGCATTCCGATGACTCACATGCTCATGTCCAACAACTGGTCCAGATCAACACCCCTGTAGGTGAACTTCCTGAAGGTTCTCTTCTTCTTCTGCGCTTCATCAGCCTGCAAAAGAAGGGGGAAAAAGCACGTGTCAGCCACAAATTTCCTCGTTCACACATCAACAATGTCCACTCACCATGTTTACGACGTTTGTTGTTTATGTTTTCCGGAAAACACACACAAAAATCCAACTCAAGAGATCTGCGAAAAGCACAGGAAAATAACCATAAGA